CGCTGAGCAGGGAGCCCAATGCAGGGCTCCATCCCAGGACTCTGGGATCATGACCTGAGCTGAAGGCAGATGCCCAATGACCGAGCCACCCAGGTGCCCCACCAAGAAACTCTTTACCATAAAGAACGGACTGAGGGTCGATGGAGGGATGTGGGTGGGGGATGGGCTAAATGGGTGATGGGTATTAAAGAGGGCACTTGTTATGACGAGCATTGGGTGTTATATGTAACTGATGAATCACTAAATTTTACTCCTGAAACTAGTATTACACTATATGTTATCTAGAATTTAAATAAAAATTTGAAACAACAAAAAAAGATAGAATATTTCCATCATCCCAGAAAGATCTCTTGTGCCCCTTCCCACCCTATCCCCCATTCCATCCCTTTGACTGTTCTAAAACTTCATATAAATTGAATCATACGGTATGTACTCTTTTTGCTTTCAGATTTTTTGCTCAGCATACTAGTTTCTTTTGTTTTTAATTCATCCATGTTGTGTATTTAAGCAGTCTGTTCCTTTTAAAGTGCTGAATAGTATTCTTTGCTGAAAGAGGTAATAGTTTTCCAATACTGGAAAAATTTTCCTTGTTTTTTTTTTTTAAGATTTGATTTATTTGGGGCGCCTGGGTGGCTCAGTCGTTAAGCGTCTGTCTGCCTTCGGCTCAGGTCACGATCCCAGGGTCCTGGGATCGAGTCCCACATCGGGCTCCCTGCTCAGCGGGAAGCCTGCTTCTCTTCTCCCTCTCCCACTTCCCCGCTTGTGCTCCTGCTCTCACTCTCTCTGTCAAATAAAATAAAAAAAAAAAAAAAAAGATTTTATTTGAGAGAGAGCGCAAGCACAGTGGGGGTGGGGCTCCCCGATGAGCAGAGAGCTCAATGCAGGACTCGATCCCAGGACTCCGGGATCATGACCTGAGCAGGAAGCAGACGCTTAACCGACTGAGTCACCCAGGCGCCCCAATAATAAACTTTTAGAAAGTGTTTTGTATAGGATGTTGCTAAAGCAGTATTCTAGGAAAATATGTAATCTTAAATGCTTATGTTAGAAAAGAAAGACTAAAAAAAAAAAGGCTCAAAATTAATGAATAATCCAACTTAAGAAGAAAAAGTAGAAGTATGAAAATACCCAAAGTAGAAGGAAATAATAAGCATGTCAAATTAAAGAAATGGAAGACAAATGTGCAATAGAGAAGATCAACAGAGCCCAAATTAATTCTTTGAAAAGACTAATATAAGCAGAAGTCATATAATAATCTCAATAAATATAAAAAAATGTATTTGACGAAAGTTGACATCCATACATGTTTAAAACAAATCTCAAGAAACTAGGAATAAGGGTGCCTGGGTAGCTCAGTTGGTTAAGCACCTGCCTTCAGCTCAGTTCATGATCCCAGGGTCCTGGGATTGAGTCCTGCATTGGGCTCCCTGCTCAGCGGGGAGTCTGCTTCTTCCTCTACCCCTCCCCCTGCTTGTGCTCTCTCTTGCAAATAAATAAATAAATAAAATCTTAAAAGAAGAAACTAGGAATAAAAGGAAAATCCCTTAACTCGATAAAGGACATCTAGCAAACAAAAAATAAAACAAAATAGCAATCATACTTAATGGCGAAAAGATGGGCAAAACAAAGATGCCCACTCTATCAGTTATCTATGTCATGCTGTGTAATGTACTTCCCTAAAACAATAAACATTATTACTTCATCTAGTTTCTAAGGGTCAGAAATTTGGGATTGCTTAGCTGAATGGTTCAGGCTCAGGATTTCTTGCAAGGGTAAGTCAAGTTGTTGATTAGGGATACAGTCATTTCAAAGGCTCTACTGAGATCGGAGAATCTGCTTCCAAGCTCATTCATGTGATTGTTGACAGGCCTTAGTTCCTTGCTGGCTATTGGCTGAAGGCCTGTGTCCATAAAGCTTCTCCAACCATAGCAGCTTGTTCCTCTCAGATCAAATAATTCAGTAGAGAGCAAAAACCAGAGTGTCCAAGACAGAAGCCACAGTGTTTTATAATCTAATCCTGGACGTGACATACCATTTCTGTTCCATGCTTATTGATCATATGCTCTCATCAAACCGTGGTATAATATGGGAGAGGGTGGGGATTACACAAGATGGTGAATACCAGAAGGCAGGAATGATTAGGTTCTATTCCAGAGGCTGGCGACCACACACACTGTGATCATTTCTATTCTGCATTTGTACTCTAGGTCCTAGCCAGCAAGAAAGGAAAGAAAAAGAAATGAAAGGTATATGGAAAGAAAGGGGGGAAAATTCTCAATACTTAT